GTGTTTGAGGCTTCGCCCTTCACCCCACCTGTGTTTGAGGCTTCCCGCAGTTGGAGTGTCTCCAGACGTCAGCGTTATGTGCACAACTGACTAGAAATCAAGTTTATGTATGATAATGTGTAAAGTATTATGTGCCTCATAAGAACAGACTTGCGGCAGATAGTCTGGCTGTCGAGAGGGAGTCCGGCCTTGTTTCAACCTCTTTTAACAGGTTAACCTTGGGGGTGAGAGAATTGGCCAACACGATTAACTGCCAATTGCCGTGGTGGGCAGAGAATCCCCCATATACTCCTGTATAACTGCATAGATACTTGTCTTGCACGATTCGCATTAATGGAAGGACGGAGTGATTTGTTTCGTGGTTGGTTAATAGAGGTTGTGTTGGTGATACGCCTTTAAGTTCCCGTGTTGTTGCTTCCCCCCGCCAGTGAGATCTGAACCGGTTTATATTTTGGATAACACGTATAAGTAAGGGTAGAACGTGCGAGTAATAAAGACTAATTGTTAGACGAGTTGTAGAATGTGTGCATGGTGGTGTAGATCTGTGTGTGTGGTGAGTAACTGGGAGAGGGCGAGGAGAGGCATGGAGCAGCGCCCTCCAGACAGCAGACGGTGGCGGCGGTGTCTGGTATTGATTGTACTGACAGACACCATACGCGCGCACAAGCGCTCACTCAAACTTGTTTAGCTAAAACCATTTTTACACATGTCTAGATAACTGAGGTTATCTTCTCTACTGTAGGTGAACTGGATGTAGTAGTATTCACTCATAGCAAATAAGTACTTCCTCCGTGCAAGGAACTAGTTTGCAACCTTACAAGTATCTCAAGCCGGCTGGGAAAGGGGTCACTGTGCAGAGTGGTGACCTACCCTCGCAAATCCTTATCCTTTATTTCCGCTGAATTTGTCTGAGGCGTGGCGTGGATGTTTGCCAGTGTCCTGTGGCACTCGTGTTAAAATGCACTTATGGTATTCATGATGGTTTTATATATATTAAAAAAAAATGACTGGGCGCTTGTATACAATTTTCCACCTTTGAGTGAGGGAAGGACACAATTCCAGAGTGTCACCAAATGGGGAAACTGTTGATCATTATGTATCATTTTCTGATTGATCATATCCATGTGTCTTCATATCCACGTTGTGGTCCGTGTACACGCGGTACTGTAATGTCTGAAAAGCTGGAGACACAAGGCAGGAGTGTGAACTGGGAGAGTGCGAACGACACAGCCACATTTTGCTTGTGATTTGCTTACAAAATGAGATCGTGATCCATGCCAAGTCAGCACACGAGGTTTTCATACTGTCTTCAACACAAATTTTAACTGAATGCTCAGTATGGTTCTTTTGCACGGGGACAATTGTAACTGAAAATAAGCGCCAAGTTGAGGCATTGTGCTGCAGTAGGCAGTACTTGCCTACTTTTAAAGGCAAGCTTCCCTATTATCCCACAGCGCGTGTGTGCACTTGTCTGATAGGACAGCTTCATGCAACAAGGTCAAGGCGAGAAGCGTAGGGTCGATTTTTTTTATTTCAGTATTCGGTTGGACAAATCTACATAACCTGGTTGTTTTGTAGATGTTTTTTTGTTCTGGGGTGGGGGAACAGTTTCAACCTCGCTAAATAATACCGTAGAAATAAAAATTTTAAGCCTTTGCTTTTTCGGGTTGCGCCTTTCTTACTCCACGTACCTGTCATTTGTGGCCGTTTTGATTAGAGATGAGCAACACGCGAACTGTTTACGTTCTTTGGACGGGCGACTGATGCCAGCAACTGTGGTCTGTGGGATAATGAGAAGCATCAGGGCCAGTGAGCAACTGATGCTGGTAGAAGGGAGTCGCTATAATTGGCGCTGAGGTAACTATAGAACCTAATTGTTCTAAAGCTTGACAGTTATCTATATTAAACCCAAACCCAGATGAAACGTAAATAACTGGTGTACTGTATAAGTCGTTAATTATAGCATCATAGTGAAGCCTACAGGGTTACTTTAGCGAGTGCTGTCAGGAAGTTGTAGTGGGCATAAGTTCTTGATCGACTAATTATTAGGGAGTCGAGTAGTGTATTCTGGAGACGGAACATGTGAACTAGAGCCGTTGTTAATGTAGCTTACAGTAGGTGAGCAGTTTAGTGGGCCAACAACCACTTGAGGGGATAAACGGGATTAGATATCATGACTCGCTCTTAAATGGGTTGTGCAGCAAACAATACTCCAGAGTCGTGTGCTGATAACTAAATTAATGGACTTGGTTATATATATATATATATATATATATAGGTTTGATCGAAATTTTGTTGATATTCACTATATTTAATATTTAGTCATGCTATTTATTTTGAAAGTAATGAGCTAAATTCTTCGTGTGTGCATATTCATATTTATTTCGTCGTTTATGTAAAAGTATCGTGTATATAGTTTACATGATTGTGGAGAAATACACGTGGCGGATGTTTGCAGTATCTGGAGCTGAGAACCAGCTTTCCGATAGCGGTGAGTCATCTGAATAACGCGACAAGGCAACCCGTTGTGGGCTTATCCTGGATGACTAGCCGAGGGTACCTGACTGACTTGGCCTTTATTTGTGCTAAATATTTGGTAATAATGTTAATGAGGCGTGGTGTAACGCTAGTGCGTCGTGTGACACCGGAGCTCCTGACGTACAGTATAGTGTGTTAACAGGCTCTTGGCCAGAAGATAATGTTGATTAGTGAAAAAAAAAATCAAGAGTTGGTCTGTACTAGACAGCCCCTCACCATCGGAGACTTAACACAGCATTCCGTATTAACAGTTTGTGTCCTTTCGTTGTTACCCTAAATTAAAAGCAGCTTTAATGTAAAGTAAATGGCATACACAACAGAAACATCAGGAGTATCAGATTTTATTCAATGTTGGGAACAATGTAGTTTATAGTGCATGTGTAGCAAGACATAAGAGCTGACGTCTTGCATGTACCAAAGGTCAGAGTTGGTTAGCTATACATGGTAGCCACAGCAAGATGTTTATTTGCTCTATAGTCTGTATTATGAAAACTTGTCCGTCATTAAGGTTGATGGAGATACAATGTGCAGATGGACGACTGTATGCAGGTATCCAAGGACAATTTAAATATTAGAACTGATGTAGGATTATTTGTCTCGCTTTTACTTGTTATCCAACAGTGTGTTATCTTGGAAGAGGTTGGAGTTTCATATTCAGTAGGTCCGTTCTGGTCATGTTCTCCACACTTAAGACTTTGGGTCTGACCCTTGTTGCCACACACCCAGTTTCAGGACTTTGAAAATGCCTGTGTAGGGATGAGCAGTCGGTATTTTACTCTTGCCGATTTACTAGCCTAGTTATTTTTGGTAGAACAAAGCTGGCGTATCAGTAACTGAGGTAGGGATTACTTAAGGTAACGAATGAAGCAAATTAAAGATGCAGGGTAGGACGAAAGTAGAGCCCTGGAGCCCCGAAACCTGCATGTTGGCTTAAGGTAGCCTTACCTACCTTACGGAAAACCTGTGACCCTAAAAATTACTAAGAAACGAAATGTGTAAGTTACTTACAAAGCTTTCGTCTCGGGTGTAACCGAGACAAAATAGGCTTAAAAAATATGGTGAAAGGAAAGAAAAATGCTAATTTCTAATCCGGTGTTCTCTACAGGGATAGCTTAAAATTGAGTCTTAAAATAGGTTAAAAGGGTTGTACTGTGGTTTATATACCTCTAATCCATACGGCTTCAAAACAAGTGTCAACCTTATATAAGAGTGTAGTGTACACTTAATGCAGAAAATACTCGGTTAAGTCTTGGCAAATGTCAGAACATTAATCTTCAAAACTAGATTGTGATCGCTGTTAAAATTCTGCTTTGTTTCACCAAAGCAATGTTTGTCCACAATGTAGTTCTACTCTACTGTACACCCATAAATCGGTAATGGGTGGGCCACGTGGTGCAGGAGGGGTTGACGTTTTGATGAGCTACAGTATGTTGCACTGCTCGTGTGGGTCAACCCATCTCAAGGTGGCCCACATAGCCTTTTATCTCCATTGTTTCTCGTCTTTCTACATCTCTAACCTAATATTGTTTACCAAAGTGTAAATTTTGTTTTCCTTCTCGGTTGATGGTAGTATCACTGATGGCTTTGTGAAGGTGTACGAGTGAAATTATGTAAAGTACTGTATATGTAGTGCTGGTGTTTAAGTGGCCAATAATTCCACGTTACCAGGACAAAGCATCTACATTTTATGTAAATCTGTCCTGGATGGGAAAGGAAGTTCTAGAGGGGGGGGGGGGGCGTCGTCACCAGCTGCGAGTTGACATGTGTGCAACAACAAAGTAGATTGAGGAACCACAGCACTATACTGCCCACGCTTATGTTCTTCCTGGTAGCCTGCCAAGAGCTTGATGCTACTCCTTCCAGTCACTGGAAAAGACGAGCCGAATGTTATGAAACGTTAATTTTCAAGCTTTAACTTCGGTATTCTGGCATTGTTAGCTGGGAAGAATGAATGGATCGTCTAATCAGCGTAAATAGAAAAAAAAGAAATGTGATTTGTATTGACTTAACTACTTAAACTACTTATGGTGTTGGAGTGCTAACTATACTATAGGGATGGGTGTTGTGCCGCTCTGGTGTAGCCGACATTTTATTTCGTACACAAGTTTTTAGGTAATTGCAGAGGATGGGGGGACGTTCGCTCATCTATGTGGATTGGCAGAAGGAAATTTTGAATTTATTGTGGGCATATGGTGCTGTTGGCTGTGCACTACTCGGGTGTGAATGTCGTTCATGGCTTGTACACAATAACGTGGCTTATTGTGTGGTCTTCATGTATCCTTTTAAGGTTATGCATTCCTGGGTCTGCAAATCATCGTTACATAATAGCATTTGTTCATACAAGCGAGCAGGTGGCGGACGGGACGGCGGCGGTGTTGGGATGAGCAGCGGCGGCGGCGATAGCAGGAGGAGGGGCTGAACTAGTGTTGACAGCAACGCGCAGGTCCGAAAACCACACCCAGGGAGGCCAGCCAAGCAGCGGCGGCTAGACGACAGAGGTAGTCAGTGTCGACCCGGCCCCCGCACCACCACCACTACTTACAACCACTGCCATCACCTCTACGCCCACACCACACTGCCTTAGGCTCCCGCTCTGCCACAGCACCTCAGTGGTGAGGCAACTCTTAACACAGTACATACGTACCGAGTAAAATTACGTGGTTGGCTTTTCTTGGTGTTCAAGATAGTGGCGGTAGACTGACAGTGCCTGCATATCGTCCACCCAAGCATTTTGGACCAAGCACCAAACGCCCGCCATCAGCGCCCTGTATCTCACGCCCACCACAGTGCTCTAGTCCCAATACCTGCTGGACTGTCAATAGTTAAAGTTCATATTGTTTAGAGGTTGGACCATGTGATTTGACTACATTAAATCATTTAAAGTATCAGTTTAACCTGTACTATACATGCTTCTACTTCAGTGCCATCTCTTGTGTTTGTGAGATTAAGCATAAAGGTACATCTGCTATTTAGTATTACAAGTCTTCAGGTAAACGATTGGAGTTGCCTCGCAGAGGCGTGGACACAGGGCGGTGCAGGGCGGCGTGTTTGGCCTTGGTGGTGACGAGTACCTCAGCCAGTTGGCATTCAGTTATTGGTGCAGGCACTGTGTACTCCCCTGACATCTTACCCTCCACCGCAAGTCACACTCACTTGACATCTCGTGACCCTGTTGTATTGTAACTTATCACTTGAGTTTTAAACATAAGATTGTGCAGAACAAACACATTCAGAGAACCCTTAAGGGCCACGTGTAGTCTTTGTATTCATACAGTAGTTGTTTTGTGGAGGATAATATCTTTAGCGCCGCACCAGGGCCAACACCTTGCCAGGTTTAGCCATCATTGTGGTATAGGGATGTTGACAGTAATGTGAACTATCCCTTGCTGGCTCTGACGAGGTTTTGGTCCTGCAGCGACGATACCCCCAGTTGGCACCCTCGAGCTGGCCTACCTGCGGGGCAATCTACATGGTGTAGAGCAGTGGTGTAGACGCGTCTTGTAGCTATAGCACTGCCCGGGGACCTACCCAGGCCGCTCCGACCCTCCACCCATCCCATCTACAAAACACTTCTCCTAAAGGTGAACCTTCTCCGCCGCCAAGATGATCATCGGTCTTGTTCGAGATTCCTTCCTCCGCTGCTTCTGTCAGACCTGCTCCGTCAACTCTGCTCTTCCAGGTTAGCCTCAACGAAGTCAATCAAGTCTGTTTTGAATGTTTTTGAATTACAAGTAAATCTTTGTTGAATAATATCTAAAATGGTTTGTTTACATTTAGAAGACTTGAAAAGCCTGCAATGTCGGAACTTTCAGATGGTGTTGAAATTACCTTATAGTATTTGATAACAAAACAGTTTAAGGTTTTGAGGCGAATACAAGAAAACTGAAAATAAGGACTGAAGGAAGTGGTGATTCAGTCGCTGCCCCATTCAGAATTCGGAGCTGCCGAAAGTCTCGTTTTCTGTTTCCGTTTTCTGTGAGCCGCGCCCACTACCACTGGCCGGGATGTAAATAAGGGCGAACGTTACGTGTTCCTGTAATGCAGCATCGCCCATACTACCGATCGATCGTCGAGCTGCATGTCGTCAAGGGCGCTGCTCCCAAGGGCCGCAGTGTCCCAATCGACCTTCCTGCGCTCGACAGGAAGCCGAATGCTGCAGTGTCTCGCAAGCACATTTTTGTTGTAGTAGTAGCAGCAACCTATTGTAGCAGTTTACGCTGGCAAGACTCGCGTCCTAGTATTACGAGTGAACCTCTTGTTACCTCACTTGCTGTAGTCAGGGGGGGGGTAGTTCAGCCCATTAGGTCGTGGGACTTACGGGGTAGACGAGGTGAATAATTGATAATACATGCTGAAGGTACCCGGACAAGGAAGATAAATGGGTGCCACTAATCTTTATTTGGGTTGTTGAGGATGAAAGTGACGATCAATATCCGGCTGGGTGGCCACCACGCTGAATGACTGCTTCCCACTTCTTCCACCCTGGCCCACCCCACCCACCCAGGTTTTCCTTCCTTTCACCATAAACCGATGGGAGCTTAAAACTTCAACTGGAGAAAGTTACAAAGCTTACAGGAACAGCGGTTTCAAGTCGATGAATAGCCCAAGCAGTCGTTGATTTAAGGGAAAGCTTAGAACAGTATGCTGGTGAATCCAGGAATGAGAGAATTAGTGATGCTTTAACATCTTCCATCAGGGTGGGATAACGTCCTAGAATTAACCATGTGGCAGGTGATCAATGAATCCTCGTATAGACCATGGTTTGTATCCTCGGTTCTTTTCACGTGTTGTGGTCATGTAATCCTCCACAGTGGGTTGGCCTTACCTTGCCCCTCTGTATTTGGACACAACCACCTTCCTCTTCTTCATTTTCACTCCTATGCGTTTTCTTCCTTAGTCTCGTTTATATCCCATTTTCGTCGACCATCTGTTCTTTAGTGCTTCGTTCCTCAATCTCGCCCTATTTATCCCCTCCCATCTGTTGCCTTCTTTATCTTTGCTTTCATATTTTTCTCTCGACTTTTGATCTACATCGCATTTTTCTTATCCCATTCCTTCCTTTTACCGATCTTTCTTCTCTTCCTTCATTCCTAATCTTCTTATTCTCTCCCATCTCTTCCCACTGTCTTCGTACTTCATTGTTTCCTCCATATTCCTTGTTGGTTATTTTCCCTCTTACCCTTTCTTTCAGATTATCCCTTCCGTTTCCTTCCACACATTCTACTCTCCTCCTTGGTCTACCAATTCCCCTCCCGCCGGTTTTTTCCTCACTGTTCCATATCTAGCGGTGGGTTTCTTCCTTGTTCTCTTATACTTTTCTCATATTTGGATCTTGCAGGTTTTCCTTCCTCGTTTCTCAACTTTCCCCTTTCCGTTAGTTGTATTTAGTTGACTTTTTCCCCCACCATCGTCTTAAATGTCCATGTTCATTATCGGGTATTTTCCCCCTTTCTTCGTTTTCTGCTTTCTCCTTTTTATCATTCTTATTCGGGAAATTAATATGGTTTGTATTTCTACATTTCTTCTTTGTCTCTCACCACCTTTTACTGTACACCTAGATATTACCTCTTCTATTGTCATTTTTGCCTTGTTTTTTTAATTTTCCCTTTTCTATTTAATTTTATCTCCAATTGCCCTGTCTATCTTTTACTATTCCCTCCGCATCATCCTCTTCCTCTCGGCTCCGTGTCTAGCTTAATGGTGGCCTAAGTGATGGATCTTGGATGGTGGGTCGTATGGTAGGACCGGATCATGAAATTAGCTGCAGTATGTCTCCCGTGATGACCAGGTGATGGGTCTGGCTAATGTAATCTACTGGACCTGTCAGAGCCCTTCGTCACCGTCTACCTCATTTGTTCGGGGTCCTGTCCACCACTTAGCTCACTGTTTGGGGGTCTCGTCTTAGTACTTGGGGGTGGTGGGGGCAAGTTTCCATCATTGTAGGAGAGCCCACTGTCACGCCATATGGAAGGACCCACGCTCTGAACTATAGTTCTCCACTGCCACCTCCTTTGGGAGAACCCGCGCTCGTGTGGATAATAGGGGGACTCGGGTCTCGCTACCAGGGCACGGTAACTTGGAGATGAGACGGACGACGGTGGGTGTACAGTAAGTTGTCCGTATACACCAGGGAAAACTTAGCTTCGTTACGGTGTTAACAAAGTATTACGACGAGCCTTAACTGTAGTTTGGGCGGTAGAGGTCAGCATCGTTCCTCCTATGTTTACACTAACGCTGGTTTACATAAAGCACAAGAAACTGAAGTTCATTGGACTGTTAAGATAATTTTAAGAAAGGCAATACCGTAATAGTTGAAGTATTCTTAGAGAGGGTTAGTCATGAAGGTTGCTGGTAGTTACAGCTGAGTGGGACATTACTCACACGAGGCTACAGGAGCTGGATGCTCACAGTTCCTGGTAAACGCCAGTAGTCACTCAGGAAATTGCACACTATCTGCTTCCACTGTGAGTTAAACTGGACAGAAGAGGCAGCAGACCCAATTTGTAACTCGCAGATGAGGCAGTTCCAGGGAAATGCGTGTTGAAGATGTAGTATAGATTAGGGATATTGTGGAGTTTGTTTAGGGTTGAGGAGGAATCCGTGAGACTGGCGTTATATCCACCATCAGTCAAGTGTAAAGTTGGGGTGGCAGTCCCTCCCCTGTTGCCAGTTTCCCTTTTAGAGACGCTCGCCCTAATAATTGAGCATTATCATGTTCCACAATACTGCTCATTGTTCATTTTGTCAGGTAACTGTTTGCATGATATTTACAGGGTAGTAAAACCAAACCAGGGGAGTAAGAGACGTTTAGATGGTAAATTTTTAATTTCAAGTCATGAAACCATGAAATGGTTTTTAGGGGCTCGTGGGGGGTGTATTTAAGGGGAATGGAAGGGGGTAAGGGGAGCATGGGTGTTAGTTGGTGGTGATGCAGGTGAATCAATAGTGTAGTGGACGCATGGTTAGGGGGGTGCTTGATGGGTCATGACCATGCAGGTGGTGGTGACTGAGTATGGGTGGTGTTTTATTATAATGCACCTGTGAACTAGTTCAAGCTGAAGTAACCTTTGGAGGAACAGATGGATATTTTATTTCTCATTAGAATCTTAATTATTTTTACTTAATCATCCCTTAAAATATAACGTATCAAGATATTTTCTGCTTTCTTAGTTGACAACACGATAACTAGCACAAGAATACCTGTAGCTTATCCTATTCCCCAGGTACTTGAGCGCAGCAACACCTGAGATTTCCCACTAAACCAGTCAGTCAGCGTCAGTTGTACAGTGAGAGCCAATTTAATGCTGCATGATAATTAAGCTGTATAGCTTAATGATAGTTGGTAAAAAAAATGTCGGCTTCCTGTGAACTTGGACAGTCTAAGTTGGTACATAACCCTCCCTGCATTAAGGTGTTCGTGGGGAGGCAGGTTGAGGCGGCTTAACAGTGCGAAAGGGAACTTTAAGTGTGTTAGTGTGGGGTTGATGGGGAGCCTCACCTTGGGCCACCACCACCGCCAGGTTCTTGAAGCTGGAGGCTCGCTCGCCCTCCCCTTCTTGTCTGCCTTAAAGAAACTCGACACCACTTGCTGTTTTCAAGGGTGTGAGAAGTATCGTCTGCTTCCCACGACCAGCGTCTTCCTCTTGCAGGGGTCACGATGGATGGGGACGAGAGACACTTTTACTTTTTTCCACTTATCGTGGACGTCTCGAGGGATTTAGTGATATTATTCGTGATTTTTGGGCCCGATGTGGAAAGGGAAGAAAGATCTTATTCTCTCCTTCCTTTCACTAATGGAAGGGGGGGGGGGGACCTTTCCCTCACCAACACATCTCGACTTGCCATGTAAAATGAAGCCTTTTTTATTTTCAATAATTCAATTGTACTGCGGGTTTTGTTTTCAGTTATTTACTTAAACAGGGTTGAGATTAGTATTGATCTTGCTTCCTTTCCCAGTTGGCACATTTACTTTAATTTACCACGCTTCCCTATAATTGGAGTTAAATAATAGTCTTTATGATGTGACATACTGGACTTGTCGGTTCATGGTCACGTTTGAGAAAACATGACAGGTGTGTCGTTTCGTTCTACGTAGTTACAATCTTCTTAACGTGGAGTTCTGGTTTGTTGTAAAACAGGTTTGATGTGTACTACTTCAGTCTTCTCCATTAACTTTCTCTTCCCCTCCTGCCTCCTTCGTTCATCTCCTCTCCCCTCCTTCGTTCATCTCCTCTCCCCTCCTTCGTTTCTCCTGCTGGGTCTTAACGCCACCATGGTTGGTGCAGCGAGCGAGCGAGCGAGTGAGTGGGGTGGCCTAGCGGACGTGACCAGGCAACAGCAAAAGGCTTTTTCTCAGTATCAGCTCGGCCAGGCGAACCCACCGCGCCGCCTTGCTTGGCTCCTGTTGTTGTCGTCAGCCTCTCCACACCGCCTCACTTGCATCCTCTACCACGTTATAGCTGCATGCTTATTTATGAACCTGTAGAGGTAATTTGTCGTTATTGCTCGCTTATGGGAATATGTTTATGGGTCTCAGCCGAGTGGTTAGATTTGTTCCGTGGTGGAGCGCCATGGATGGTGATCGTATGTAGAGTTTATCGAGAAAACCTCTATGAAAATTAATGACGTGTTCCTATTTTTCTCCTCCCGCCATGTTGGGATTGCTTTGTGAGGCACGTT